GGGCGGGGACCCTCTCCGCCTTCTGCAGGGTCACCTTGGCCAGGCCCCCCGCGGCCCCGGGCAGCGGGTTGGCGGCCGGAGTGCTTCTCTTCCAGGCCCTGATTTCCTCGCCCAGCCCAGGTGCAGGATCACGCAGGCGGAGGCCTCTCCCAATTCCGGGCGTACAATCTGGGTTCGAGATCGGGCTCAGCACTGTTCCCCCTGCAACGCCGGGCTCGTCCCTGCCTTGCCCTTGGCCTGTTTCCCTTAGAATGGAATAAGCATGAGAGCTGGCTTGGAGCAGTCCGAGCTTCCACTGTCTTGGTGTCAGAGCTGGGACCACCAGCCCCCGCCCCCAAAGCTGAGCACCACGGGGGTCCTCGATTTCGCCTGGACCCTCCGCGCCCAGCGCTTGCTCCAGGTTAGTAATGCAGCGAGCGAACACACGCGAATGAGAAAGCCCACACCCGGGGCCGAGCTGTGTTCTGCCTCCTTGTGCTGAACCTCAGATTTGCGTTCTTGAGTGTTTTGTTTGGGCTAATCCTCAGTCCCCGCCCAGTGTCTTCTTGCTGCTCTGCTGTCTGGCTCTGCTGTCTGGTGGCAAATCGTGGCTCAAAACCAGCTCTCTTGCTGCTGGCCAACTCCTTTCCAGTTGGCCTTGGGAAGCCTAGGAGAAGAAAAAGCACTTTAGAGTCAGCATCCCCTATCGGCGAACTGTCTGACTCCCAGTGAAAATTCTCTCTTCATTCTTGTGATTAATGTTACATTGCCAGGGCCTGAAGCACGTGGGTCTTGGTTACACGGCCTCCCTAGTACTAGGCACAGCGCTCTGCACATGCATCTGACCTGGTGCCCAGGTATGCATATAATAGGTGTTCACGATACGATGAACACAAAAGTCACGTAATAGGTACATTTATGATATGTTGGCTGATACTGGAAAGAAATTGAAGCCTGTTTATCTGGAGCAAAGGCCTTTGGGAGCTATTTGGAGGTGACCTCCCCACGCCGTTTTTCCGAGTGTGAATAATGTGGAGTGTGGCTGGGTTAAACATTAGCCCGCAGATGGGCCCGGGGCGAGTGGGGGCTTAGTTTGGGGACCTAAAACTGCCAGGAGGAGGCCATTAAGGGCCAACTCTGGGTCAGCCAAGTAGCGTGGCATAGGAAGGAGCGGAGGCTGAGGGTTACAGAGCGCCCCCTCCTGGCGTTGGGGATTGCTTCGATTCAGCCCTGAACCCGATCCACCAAGGTGGCTGGCTAGTTTAAATCTATTAGCAAAAATACTTAGGGACTGAAGGTGTAGTTCAGTGGTCGAGCACATGCTGAATATGTGTGAGACTGGTTCAATGCCCAGCACCAGGAGAAAGCTTGAGGGATGACAGGCACTATGCAGCGTTGAACACAAAGTGCTAACACGTGGGGTGTAGTTAAGCGGCGCAGCACCTGCTTGGCAAGCGCGAGGTCTTGAGTTCTTTTCCCGGTACCAAAAAGAAGAAAAGAAAAAAGAAAGTGAAACCTGAGCCCAAACTAATGGCACACACTTTTAATCCCAGGCTGAGACAGGAAGATCATGAGTTCCAGGCCAACTTGGGTTACATACTAAGTCTCAGGATTGGCATAGACTACTAAAATAGACCCTGTCTCCAAAAAAGGAAAAAAAAAAAAATCCCTGGCGGCCCATTCTCGGAGTTCATTTTTTCAGCTTGTTGCTCTGAGGAGAACTCCAGGATCCTCACTCTCTCTGGATCCTGCATTGGCATAGTGAACAGCAGTGCCCTCATTTCTGAGGTGGTTGTAAAGATTGAGGTTCCCAATCACTTCTAGATGTCAAGCCCAGCCCAGGACCCAGGTTATGTCCCCTTAGCCTCCAGAGAACCCCTATATTTGGCTGTTCAGATCCCACAAAACTAACAAGGATGATGAGAAAAACTTTTTAATGTGTGGAACTGACCCAACTGGAAACCCCCAACCCTCAGCCAGACCAATTCTTCTACCAGGCATTTTTTTTCTTGCAGTAGTGAAGATTAAAACCCAGGGCCCTCAAACTGAGTTAACAGCCCTAGCTCTCTACCACCACCGTTTTTTGTTTGTATTTTGAGACAGGGTCTCACTGTGTAGCCCAGTCTGGCCTCCAGTTTGCTGCAATCATGCTGCCTCAGGCTCCCAAGTGCTGGGATTACAGGAATACTCCATCATACACACCCCTTTTTTCTTTCTTTCTTTTTTTTTTTGGAAGGGCAGGCTATGATTAAACCATACTGAGTGACATCTGCAGTCCTTCTTAAATTTTTATTTATTGATTGAGACAGGGTTTCGGTATGTGGTTCAGGCTGGTCTTGAACTCACTATGTAGCCCAGGCTGGTTTCAAACTCACAGTGATCCTCTTGCCTCAGCCTCCCAGAGTGTTGAGATTACAATTATGTGCCACCACACCAGGCTGTTACTTGACATTTTCATTATATTCCCAATAACCTGGGGTCCTATTACTATTATTCCCATTCTACAGAGACAGAAACTGAGGCGCAAAGGAATTAACATAATCAAGATTTTACAAACTAGAAGAACCTGGCATGGTGTCACACATCTGTAATCCTAGCATTTGGAAGGCTGAAACAGGAGGCTTGCCCTTAGTTCAAAGCCAGTCTAGACTACATAGTGAGTTCAAGACTACGCAGGGAGAGGGGCTGAAGGGAGGGCAGGAGATTGGGAAAAAAATAAGAACCAAGGTACATCATGTAAAGGTACAAGTTCCTAATGATAAATATAAATGTATCCTATACCTAAAAAGGTACCAGTAAAAGAATTTAAGAGAGAAAAAGAAGACTACATAGGGAAACCCTACATTACAAAACCAAGAAAACTAACCAAAACAAACTGGAAGAGGCATACTCCAGATTGTAATCTCAGAGAACTGATTTCAGCACATTTATTCAAACCCACTGCCTCTCTCAGGTACCAGACAACTGGTAAAAGTGGGGAACATCCAAGAGGGTTAGGCTCTGAGCTGTTTTCTTGGGGTTCTTAGTGAAAGGTGAGCAAGGAAGAAAGCTCTCTGTACCTTTTCCCTCACTTTTGAGCCCTTATCACTCCTATACCCTAAAACTAAGAAGTCTTTGGGGAATATCGTTTCCACTACTAGACTGTGAGATCTCCAAAGAGTGGGACTCAGGGAGGAGTTGGGGATGTAGCTCAGTGGTACAGCACTTGGCTAGCAAGTGTGAAGCCCTGGACTCAGTACCCCCCCAAAAAAGGTAATCAGATATATTGCCTGCTCTGTCACTGAGCCTAGTATACAATAAATGCTTCCTACATATTGCTGATATATTTGGAGGCGGAATTTGGTACCCTAATCTTTCACTGAAATACACTGAACATGTCCTATGTCCTTATTCATTCAAGAGATGTAAATTAAACCCTTAGTGGTCAATATTTTTTATTTATTTATTTATTTATTTATTGGAACCAGGGCTCAAACTTGGTTCTTTTTGCTTGCGAGGCAGGCAACAGCACCACTTGAGCTAAATCCCCAGCCCTAATGTTCAACATTTATTGAAGGCCTACAGTGTGTGTGTGATTTTTTGTTTGTTTTTGTTTTTTTGAGATAAGAGCTCACTCAGGCTGAACTTGAACTTTATTATCTTCCTGCCTCAGCCTCCTTATTGCTGGGATTACAGACCGTGCACCACCACATCACTTGTCAGTTAGTACCTACACTTGATCTTAGCCAAAAGGCCGAGAAGTGATTACTTGTCAGTACCTAGAGGAGATGCCATTCACTCATCATACACATCATACACATGTGTGCTGAAAGGTGGATATCTAGACAATGTAGGGTCTTAGTAAATGGCCCTACATTAATGCATACTATATTAAGGCCAGCAGGAAATCCAAGGTTTGAAGACAATTCCTATCTTTTTGGAACCTGAACTGAGTGTGACAGATAATGAGGGCTGGGGATTTAGCTTGGTGCCGCCTGCCCTGAAAGTGCAAGGTCCTGTGCTGGGGATTTAGCTCGGTGGTTCTGCCTCCTGCCTCACAAGTGCAAGGGCCAGAGTTCAATCCCTGATACCAAAATAGAAAGTGCAAGATTCTGAGTTCAATCCCTGGTACAAAAAAAAAAAAAAAAGATATAAGATACTGTAAAGACATGAGCCTTAGGCCTATGTCAGACAGGGA